TCAGGTGCTTGAATTATCTAAAATGCAAGTGTTTTGAACACTCACATATTGAGGGACCTTGTTTGGAAAAGAATTAAAAAAAAAAAAATAGTTAGGGTAACTAGATGTGTCTTAAGAATTTGTCGAGCAAAGGGTGGAACCTATACTACTATTATTATTAAAGGAAAAGACTAAAATTTCGTTACGAAACTATTTAATCGTAAATTATCTATCCTACACTAATCTGCGTGTGTACTTAACGGTTAAAAATCCCGACGAAATAATTCCGTAACGATATTTTACTTTTCACATTATTAAAACTAGCTCATTAGTCCTTACAACTGCAATTAAAAGTCTTACGTGAGGAGGCCCCCTTCAAAGAAGACTGTGTTAGCCCAACAAAAATGGCACACTAGTAGGCCCAAATTTATCACTAAACAATCGAGACTGGATTCTTCACTTGGAGGCCCATGATCCAAAAGTCTTATTTAGTTATTTTCACCATAGTCAATCTTTTATGTTGTTTTTTTTTTATTATTTTTTTTTTCTTGATGAAAAATAATAATAATATTTATTTTCTCTTCATTTCTTCCTCTTAAATATAGTTGCTGAAATAACTCAAAATCACCATTGAAGTGTTGCTTGGAGCTATTAAACGAATTAAGCTGCTTGTAAATTCAACTCTTGTCATATTTGATAAATGAATCACACTAGAGCTCTTTTAACAACTCATTTAGTTGACGAACCAAGTTCGGCTCAATTTTTTAAGCCTCGTTGCACATGAGAAATAGAGTTTTATGTAATTTTATGAACTATTAGCTTAGCTATGTATTTTAAGGCTTTGGCTATGCTCATGGACTATAATAAATAAGTTGTGCTCGAACTCGTTTATGAGATCAGTTATTTAACAAGTCAAGTTCGGCTCGACTCGATAAAAGCTCGAGCCCATAATTTAGCATCTGTTAGAATATCACTTGTGAGTTGTCTAATTTAGCATCGTTCATACATGGAAAATAGACATACCTTATAAGTCTAATGGGCTACTCCTCATTCCACCAATTGGGATGTAACTCCACTTGGGCTTCATATGAGGTTTCCCTGTTTTGGTGCGCTTCATGTTAGTGGGACCGCACCCGTTTTTTCCCTAGTTTTTTTCATGGTATCAGAGCCGGTTCTATTGAACCGTGCGATGACGTACCCGTTTATGAGAGTTTGCTTCCCCACGTACCCGTTTATGGGAGTCTGCTTCTAGTAGACTTGGGGCACCCAACCCAGTTGAGCTTGGGCTTCCGAATGACTCACAAGTGAGTGGGCGTGTTAGAATATCACTTGTGAGTTGTCCCACATCGTTCATACATGGAAAATAGATCCACCTTATAAGTCTAATGGGCTACTCCTTCTTTCACCAGTTGGTTTTGAGATGAAACACCACTTGGGCTTCATATAGGGTTTCCCCACTTTAGTGCGTTTCATGTTAGTGAGACCGCACCCGTTTTTCCCCAGTTCCTTTCAAAGAGCTCAATCTCAATTCCGCTCAACTCGTTTACAACTTTGATTCCACCTAATACTCATGACACAACAAAAGCACAATTCATGGATTAATGGGGCATCATTTCAAGGGAAATATAAGTGGCTGGATAACAATTGAGATAAAATTTACTTTGTTCCATGTTGCCTTAATTGGATATACAATAGCATCTTTTCACTGATTATGGTCTCCATTAATCAATTCAAATAATCAAAATTAGTAAAAGCATAATTTCAAAATTAACCACCACTCAATTTTCTATTACCTTATTTTGAAAAAGAAAGAAAAAAATGCACATCATTAATGGTTGATGTTGTACTAATTAGCATCTGATACATTCTAATACATTCTTATACATCTGAAAGGAGCTTCAAAGATAAACAAGTGCCTTATTTAAACTTAATTTTTTTTTTTATTTTATAGCTTTAAACATTTCCAATTAGAGAAATGCGTGTTTTTAATGGTTGATGTTCGGTTAATCTCAAATTACTGTATGTGACGGTCTGACCATTAGAGTCGGTCGAGCCATCATACTTTTATATCACGAAAGTGCTTATTTATGTTGTGAATTAAATGTCATACTTTAGTGTACGTTGTTTTTTAAAGTATGATGACATTTCAATTTGAAATGAAGCTGAAAAATTATGACTGTCTAACCGTTAATATGTTTCCTATGATCTCAATATATCATATAGTTAAAATAACTGTTTACGCATAAATTTTTATTTTTTACTGCCTTCAAAAAATAGAAAAATTACTGTTGAGAATCTTAACTGCCAGGGTAAAATGAAAGTCACAGTGGATTTACCCATTGGTCCCAAAAAAAGCATGTAATATAACTTAATCCAGAATTAGGATAAGCAAGACTGGTCCCATTAAACTCCTATGAGTGGTAATTTTAAACTATATGTATTAAAATATTTAGATGTCGATTTAATTTAATTTAATGTGTGATTATTACGTGCATTAGAAAATGAAATCCATTAAGGCGTTCATTGCATCTCATGACGAATAAATACAATGGATCAGTAAAAAACGAGAGCAAAATGAGTGCGATCCTACGCACGTGAGATGCACCATAACAATATTAATTTTGATGATGTGAAATCAATGGTTCAACACAAATTATTTGTTGAAATTAACAGCTTGACATTTAGACAGATCGACCCATCTTAATTTTTATATATAAAAATGAATAGTTATATTTTAAAATGTATTTTTTTACCAATTATTATCTTAGTTTATTTCATGTAAGTATTAAAATATGTATATTTATTTGATCGATATATATATATATATATATATAT